GGCTCCACCACCAGCCCCTGGGAGGTGCCTGGGCCGTGGGTAACCCAGTGCCCGCCCTGGGGGCGGGACACACCGCAGGCGGCACACGATACGACAGGATGCGCACCCGCAGGAGGGACACAGGACCCCAGGTCTCAGGGCTCAGGCACGAAACCAAAGGTCGAGTTTTCTCCGACCAGAACCACCCGTCCTGTGTCTATTATTATTATTACCTTCACCTGAGGACATTTTTTCCAATGACTTTCTTATTACTTATTTTTATTTAAAACATAATATTTTTATTGATTTCAGAGAGGAAGGGAGAGAGAGAAACACCCATGATGAGAAAGAATCACGGATCGGCTGCCCAGAGAGCATCATGGACCAGCTGCCTCCTGCACGCCCCCCCCCACCCCCCGTGGGGATGGAGCCCACAACCCGGGCCGGGAATCGAACCCTGACTTCCTGGTTTCTGGGTCGACGCTCAACCACTGAGCCATGCGGCCGGGCTGGCGTTTTGCTTTTTAAAAGAGGGATGAATGCACGAGCAGATGCTTGAGTCAGTTCTGACAGTTCACGTCTAGGAACGAAGAAGGGCCTGGGATCCCATCTCTGCCCAGGGAGACAATCTTTCCGAGTGGGAGAGAACGCTTCCCTGGACAGACAGACACGGACACGCGGCCCACGGACGTGCCCTGCGAGGGAGGTTAGCGGCGTGTGACGAAGACAGAGACGCCCCTCACGCCCCGAAATGCAAAGGGGGAAACCACGGAGGTACGCAGGCAACTGCTCTTTCCTTGTTTCCGGTCGCTAGAGGGTCACTGATTATCTGAAGCCAAACTACCAGAGCCGTGCGGTGGCTTCATGGCATCGTAAAGGGATGCGTGGTGCCCGAGGCAGACGCCACGGATTGCAGGCACAGGGGCCAGACCTCCAGTTAAAGGGACATGCACCTCAGGAGTCAGCAGTGGAGATTAAAAGGGCATAACTTCTACCCCCAAATCCTAATGAAGGAAGAAAAAGAGAATATAAGAAATAAAGACAGCCCGGCCGGCGGGGCTCAGTGGTTGAGCGTCCACCTATGAACCAGGAGGTCAGGGTTCGATTCCCGGTTGGGGCACAGGCCCGGGTTGGGGGCTTCATCCCTATTAGGGGACGTGCAGGAGGCAGCCGGTCCACGATTCTCTCTCATCATTGATGTTTCTATCTCTCCCTCCCTCTTTCTTCTTCTCTGAAATGAATAAAACTATATTTAAAAAATAAATGGGGACCCGGATCAGGACGTGGACAAGCTTGGGTCCACACACCTGCCCCCAGGTGGCACCCCCAGCCCCACCCCCGCCCAGAGCCTCCCTCCAGGCAGCACCTGTAGTCCAGGAAGGCGCAGTACAGGAACACGCGGTTCGTCTCATTGGTGGCCTCGCGGTACTGCCTGCTCGTCTGAAATGAGAGAATGAGGCGCCTCGTGAGGCCGGTTCCCAACGCTGAGGCCAGAGCCACACCCCAAGCTGCGAGGCCGCGGGGCTGGGGACTCGCAAAGCCACCGACTGTCCCTCTCTCGGGTCAGAGGGCCCAGGGCTCCAGCCTCAGGGCCTTTGCACGCGCTGGGCCCCCCTCTGAACCCTCTTTCCCAGACAACCTGGCTTCCTGCAGGTCTCCGTCCCTCCGAGAGACCCCCCGCGCAGAGCTGTGCCCCTGCACCCCACGCTCCCCGTGATTCACGTCTCCTGTCCGGCGAGGACACACGTGGATTTGAGACCCTGTCTCCCCCGACCCCCCCAGGCTGGAAGAGGCTTTCCCCTCCGTCTGCCCTGTCCCGCTGTGAGCTCAGACACGGGAGCCCTGCTCTGCAGCCACACAGTCCACAGAAGGTCACCAGCGGGGGAGCCCGGCCGGCGGGGCTCAGTGGTTGAGCGTCGACTATGAACCAGGAGGTCAGAATTCGATTTCCAGTCGGGGCACAGGCCCGGGTTGTGGGCTCGATCCCCAGTGAGGGGCGTGCAGGAGGCAGCTGGTCAGGGATTCTCTCTCCAAATTGGCTAGAGGCCTGGTGCACGGATTTGTGCACCCGTGGGGTCCCTCGGCCTGGTCTGTGCCCTCTCGCCATCCGGGACCCCTCGGGGAATGTCGGAGAGCCGGTTTCGGCCCCACCCCGCAGGCCAGGCCGAGGGACCCACCAGTGCACGCCAGGCCTCTAGTCTGCATGTCAAATCTCTGGTTAATCTCTTTCCGTCCTCCTCCTCCCCCTTCCCCCTGAGATGCATCAGTCTGTTCCACGTTTCCACGCCTGTGGGTTGAGCGTCTGCCCCCTGGTGGTCAGTGTGCGTCATAGCTACCGAACCGTCAAACGGTTGGACTCTTAGCATCTCAGCTTTTTATATACAGAGATGTTCCTATCTCTCTCTCCCGCTCTCCCTTCCTCTCTGAAATCAATAAAAACATGTTTAAGGGGAAAAAGTCACCAGCAGGGGAAACTGAGGCACAAGAAAACCCACAAAGTCGAAGCTCCAAGTGGGAACCTGGCGGGGACCCATGGCCTGCGGCGTCTCACGGCTGTCACAGCAGGTGTGTGTGTGTACACGTGTGTGTGTACACGTGTGTGTGTGTGTGTGTACACGCGTGTGTGTGCTGCTCAGAGCCGTGAAAGGAATGTCAACGCCGCAGCCCGGCCTGGAGGAACCGGCACCAACTCCCGCTGGAGGGAGGGAGGGAGGCACCGAGAGCTCCGGGCCCTGCCCTCCCCGTGACCTCTCGACCTCTGGCGGAGGCTCACGTCCCCACCCTCCACAGAGGCTTTAAAATCCATCCGACCCGACCGCCCGGCTGTGTGTGGTCAGCGGGCGGAGGGCGGTGGCTCCTGGGGCGAGGCCGCGGTCACACCCCGGCCGTGGGAACGAGATGCTGTCTGTGCTGGAGTTTGCAACCGAAGGGAACGCAGGCTGGCCCGGCTCCTGGGAGGCCCAGAAGGTGCTGGGGGCACGATCGGCTGTTAGAATTCGGGGTGTGGTGTTGCAGGACGAGGGAGCACCTGGTCACCCCCACTTTCCTGGAGAAACTGGGAGGGAGGTGAGGCCGTTCCCGCTAGTGGCCACCCCATGGCCAGGAACCAGGAATGGGGTGGCCTCATCGGGGTGAGGGGGGGTGACAGTCACCTTGGACCCCGAGTCCTGGAGCCGAGGGGCCCTGTGCAGCCCTGGGGACGACAGTGAGGGCTCCCTCCACACAGGGCCCCCCGACACAGGGCTCCTCAACACAGGGCCCCCCTAACACAGGGCCCCTGACACAGGGCTCCCTCCACACAGGGTCCCCCAACACAGGGTCCCCCCCGACTACACCAGACATCCTCCCTTGACGTGTGTCTGAATGTCTCCACCTGGGACCAGGCCTGACCCATCCTCCCCCCCCCCTCCGTTCCAGTCCCGTGGTCCCAAGTCCCTAGTCCTGAGGCCCCGGGAACTCGGGGAGCTCCAGTGTCAGCGTGGGAATCGGGGACCCTCCGGGGGAATTAAACTCCACACTGTGGTCCTCAAGGTCCCCACACCCTCCTCCCTGGGGGCCAGGAGCCGGGGAGGCTGCAGAGCCTGTGGCACCTGCCTCGCGCCCACGGCTGGCGCTGATGCGTCCCCGCCCGCAGGTGAGGGGAACACGAAGGGGAAATCGCAGGGGAAATCGCTTACGGGCTCGGAGGGAAAACACAGAAAGGAAAATCGGGCGATTCTGCGGGACCTGGGGTCGGTCTGCCGCTCAGAGCTGAGCAGCGTCCCCGTGTCCCCACGTCCCCCGTGTCCCCGCGTCCCCGCGTCCAGGCCGGTGACACAGAGACAGGAAAATGTCCCCGCCTGGGCCCGAGCCACAGGCAGAGCCAGCAAACCCACCTCTGAGTCTAGCCAAGCCCCAAATGGGAGGAAACGATACGATTCTCACAGCGCAAACCACGGAGCAGAGCCCCCGGGACACGCGCCGGCCGGCGGGTTTGCAGGTGAATCCCGGCATTTCCACCCCAGCCGCCCGGCCGCGTCCGAATGTCCCGGAGCCGGATACTTGCATTTCCATGTAGATGAGGGGTGGGGTGAAAAGGTTATAAAACTCTGATCTATTCTACAGCCCATTCCGGGGCTGCCGGCAATAACACATCGGATCTGTGGTCTCCAGCTGCTCACCAACCACATGAAACATAATGACCTTTTCCCGGGAAGGCGAGCGATTTCGCACAGAAAGAAGTGGGGATTCGAAACCCCACGTGCACGTTCTGGAACCGTCTAAGGAGAGGCGTGTGTGGGGCCCGGGACCCTCGCTGGTGTGGGCGGGGCACCATTTCTGTTCATCTCATTCCACCTCCACCCCATGCCACTGTTGGCTACTCTCCACATTCATCAGTAAACTGGTTTAGCCCCAATTTCTCCAGGCCTGAGACACCCAGATGCAAAAAAATCCCATTTAACCCTCCGTTCCAGTCCCGTGGTCCCAAGTCCCTAGTCCTGAGGCCCCGGGAACTCGGGGAGCTCCAGTGTCAGCGTGGGAATCGGGGACCCTCCGGGGGAATTAAACTCCACACTGTGGTCCTCAAGGTCCCCACACCCTCCTCCCTGGGGGCCAGGAGCCCGGGAGGCTGCAGAGCCTGTGGCACCTGCCTCGCACCCACGGCTGGCGCTGATGCGTCCCTGCCTGGAGGTGAGGGGAACACGCAGGGGAACACGCAGGGGAAATCGCTTACGGGCTCCGAGGGAAAACGCAGAAAGCAAAACCGGGCGATTCCGCAGGACCTGGGGTCGGTCTGCCGCTCGGAGCTGAGCAGCATCCCCGCGTCCCCCGCGTCCCCGCGTCCCCCGCGTCCAGGCCGGTGACACGGAGACAGGAAAACGTCCCCGCACCAGAATCGAACCCGGGACCCTTCCGTCTGCAGGCCGCAGCTCTATCCGCTGAGCCACACCAGCCAGGGCCGAATCCCTCCTTTCTTTGAAGGTAGCAGAGCCCGCTGGGAGCCCTGACATTCTCTTCCTGCGCATTAAAGACTCCTTTTCGAAAGGGTGAAGCCATGACCCTCAGACCTAACCGAGCGAGGATCAAAGACGTGTCTGAGCTCCTTAACCGGCGAGCAGCGCGGCTGTGACTGACACACCAGGGGAAGCGCTCAGAGCCCTGCGCAGGCGGGGGCCTCGGGGACGCGGGAGCACGTCCGCCCGGAGGAGGAGACGCCGGCCCCACAGGTGACACCCACAGGGAGAGGCTCATCGCTGGCTCGGTCGGTCTCTGGTCTCCGGTCTCCCTGGGCAACGTTTCCATTTCGACGTGAGCAGCCAGACAACTGGGGAGAGCGGGGGCGGGAGGCTGCCTCCCTCCCGACCTTGACGGAGAGACAACGACGTCTTTTTGTCGCTGCTGCTCATCCTCACCCGGGGGTATTTTTCCATGGGTTTTTAGGGACCAGGGAAGAGAGAGGGAGACACAGGGAGACACATCCATGTGAGAGAGACACATCCACTGGTTGCCTCCTGCAGGCGCCCTGACCAGGGCCCGGGCTGGGGAGGAGCCTGCAACCCAGGTACGTGCCCTTGACCGGAATCCAATCCCTTCGGTCCGCAGGCCGACGCTCTATCCACTGAGCCACACTGGCCAGGGCTAGACAATGGTTTCTTAAGTGCACAGCCCTCGACCTCTGCTGGGCGCCCGTCACTCCGCGGCCCTGGCCTCTGGGCGCGTCCCCCGGTGAACCGGGCGGGATGAAGCAGCTGCGAGCAGAGGAGGGGCTCCAGGAAGGAAAAGGCAACATCCTCGCAGGCAACGGCCAACGTGGGAGCAGAGCCCGGCCGGCTGCTCAGTGGTGAGCGTTGACCTAGGAACCAGGAGGTCAGGGTTCGATTCCCGGTCAGGGCACAGGCCCGGGTTGCGGGCTCCATCCTCAGTGGGGGGCGTGCAGGAGGCAGCCGGTCCACGATTCTCTCTCCTCATGGATGTTCCTATCCCTCTCTCTCCCTCTCCCTTCCTCTCTGAAACCAATAAAAATATATTTTAAGAAAAAGTTTTCATTTCAGACCATTCTTTGTGGTTACTTGAGGTCTCTGAGTTTGCAAGGCTGCCATGCAGGCTTCCCCTGAGTTAGCCAGGTTAGTATGTGGCCCCTTTTCGACCATACAGAATATACATTTAATATATAGGGGTGGGCAAAAGTAGCTTGAATTACCAGCCATCAATGCCTAAAATATAAATCATAAGTAAAGATATGAAATAATAATAATAAGAAAAATACAAACAATACAAATAAATAATCCTATCTAATAAAGAGGGAATATGCTAATTGACTCTCATGCCCTCAAAGATGGGGGTGCCCACGACGAGAACGAAGGGGCCGCATCTGGACATGCGTGCTCGCTTCACGCCCTGATGATGACGCGTCGCCTGGTGTGTGACGGGGGGGGGGCTTGTCCCTCCAGCCTGAGCCA